AACTTTTTGTTTCAGTGGATAAATTTGAGTATTCTCTGTATAAATTTGTCGATGAATTGAATTTGAATAGGTTAATTATGGAGAAATTTAAAATGATTGATTCAAATGGTATTTTATAAATATTAATTTTTTTAATTAAATGTAAAAAATGGAAATTAGATTTAGAACTGGTGAAGAGACCCTACTGAACTTTCAGGGTCCGGCAGCACTAAATCTGGCAGCTAACAGCTGTTAAATTAATATTCTTAAAGGTCGTGTCCAACACTAATTAATTCTACTATTTTGTTATTTTCATATAGTAAAATAAATTTTAAGTTTATAATTACTTCACCAAAATATTAAAAAATCTGATTATGGCCCTTTAATTTAAAATTAATTAATTTAATCTGTAATTACGTAATAATTATTTAAATTAATTTAATCTGTAATTATCTGTAATTAAAAAGATCACATCAAAAACCTAAAAACTAATAATTCATAATTTATTATAATTTAGATAAACAATTTAATTCAAAATCCTTCGATTATTTCTCAAAAATAATAAAAGAATCTACTTCAGATTATATTCAACGAATAATGCAAAAACTTTTATTTTTAGTAAAAAATTGGAAAAAACAACAAAAAATCCAAACAAAAACCCTAAAATCTTCAAATAATCCTTTAAATAAAATTTCAATTTTAAATATTAGTTATTGTTTAGTTAATCGTTTTATAATTATTTTTAATGAAGAAGGAAAGCCTGATATTGATAATTTAATTAAAAATCAAACAAATGTAAATTTACTTGAATTTGCTGCTGAATTGAATGAAATATTGGGAAGTAAAAGTTTGGATAAAATGTAGGGATTATTAAATTTAAAATTAAATTTGATGGAAATGTCCATAAAAATTTTGTAGAAATTTTGGAATATTAGGTATATTAGTGATCGGCAAAATTCTATTTGCGGGATCCCTTATGCAGGAGTTTAATCAAAACTTTTTTGGAACAAGTTTCCGCAAGATCAAAGCGGAGAGAGATCGAGGGACTTTTTAAAACCAGTTTATATTATGGAGAAATTATGTGGAAATAATAGAGGATTGGTATTGGTGCTTGGAGGGTTAGGGAGCTTGGAGGTGGATGGCACACAAGTGCCCTTATACCTTCAAAAAAGTGTTAATACTTTCCATTTTTTTTAAATACATATTTTTAATTAATAAAAATAAATTTCCAGTTTTTATTTGAAAATACGTGATAATATAGTTGAAGAACTAATTAACTATTGTAAACCCAATAATGAAGATGGGGATAAATATTACTGTACAAAAAATATAAAATTTAAATTGTCAATAAACTGGCCAAAATATTGTTATATCGATAAGAAAAATTTTAAATTTGAGAGGCCTAATGAATGGAAGTTACAATATAGTGAGTTTAAATTAATTTAAAATAATTAAAATAAGATTTTTAAATGTTTATTTATTTCTACTCTAAACACACAAGTCCACAAGTTATAATAAAAAATTTAATAAGTTCAAACATCTGTTGAAATCACAAATAAGTTATCTTGAAGTGTTAACAACTTCTCAAGATTTTGTAAAGATAAATTATTACAAGTATAAAATTTCTGACTCGGCGCGAGCGAATTAGTCTAGACAAGACTTTAACAATAAAAGTCCAGAAAAATCCTGGCTAAGAAGTTTTAACCTTGGTTAACGTTTCTGTTAAGAGACTTCAAAATAAATTTATTTGAAGGTCTCAAATAGGTAAGACGTAAACATCGATTTTTATTTATCGTATAGGACATATGGGGACATATGACTCCCCAAATTTAAATTATTTAGGCACGTGTAACAATTGATTGTTGCCATATTATATACAGCATAATTAAAATAAAATTCTCCCTATATGCATTGCCCATAAATTAAATTTTATTTAAAATTTATGTATTTTAATTCCCTTAACTTGTTTGGAATTTTCCTTCTTTTAGGTAAAAAATTTTAACATTTATTTTATAAAATAATATTTTTAATTGCCTATATTTAAAGCCCATTCATTACAACAAGATGGATTCCATCTTGCGACGTTGGAAATGATTGGAATTAAAACCCCAAAAATTCCTGGAATAACATCAGAGGAATTGGAACAATTTAAAAAAGCATTTAGTTTGGATTTAATTTAAAATTAATAATTAATAAACAAACATACACTCCTCCACAAAATTATAGCCCCACCTATATTTTCACCGGTTTCAATACTGTAACCGTTGTTTTTATTTTCAGACTTTTTTGTAATAATACATACTGGTCTAGAATTAGGTTTGTAAAAAAATTTTGTTTTCATATCAATTTTTTCGAGAGTTATAGGAAATTTCCAGTTTTAGGGTTCCACAAAATTATAGCCCCACTTTGAAATTTCGAGTTTCTAACATTAGGAAAAATCTACAAAAATTTGAGCAAGCATATCTATTGATACTAAGAAAAAATAAAAAAGAATTAGACCCATATCTCACTTCAGTGTCGAGATCCAGATACCACGAAAATCAACGTAAATCAGGGGTAAGGCTCTTCAAAAAATATTTTCGACCCCTTATGGTTTGTTTTAAAATTTTAATTTGGGCTCATTCGAAAGCCCTTAAAATTTGCTAAAAGATAGCATAAGTTTAATTTTCTAGAAAAATCATTTCTGTAAGCCCCATAATAATTATTTCAGTAAGCCCTCTAATGCCCCATAAAATTGGCTCCGGAAGATTAACGTCCTGCATTTCTCTATTGAATTTTTTCTTGGATATAAGAGTATTACTATCTTGTAGCAAATTTTAAGGGCTTTCGAATGAGCCCAAATTAAAATTTTAAAACAAACCATAAGGGGTCGAAAATATTTTTTGAAGAGCCTTACCCCTGATTTACGTTGATTTTCGTGGTATCTGGATCTCGACACTGAAGTGAGATATGGGTCTAATTCTTTTTTATTTTTTCTTAGTATCAATAGATATGCTTGCTCAAATTTTTGTAGAAAACTGGAAATTTCCTTAAACTGGAAATTTCCTATAACTCTCGAAAAAATTGATATGAAAACAAAATTTTTTTACAAACCTAATTCTAGACCAGTATGTATTATTACAAAAAAGTCTGAAAATAAAAACAACGGTTACAGTATTGAAACCGGTGAAAATATAGGTGGGGCTATAATTTTGTGGAGGAGTGTACATAAACTTAATCCTAAATAACAATTTTGGTTAAATTAAAGTGTTAAAAAAGCTTAAATGACCGAAGATATTTAGTTAATTTTGGGAGGCTTATTTCAAGCATTGTAGGGGTTTTTACTCGCAAAATTAGCCTAATATCAGTTCTTTAAATAATTAAACAAGTTAATAAAGCTGCTATTTTTTCTATATTTTGGGAACAGCTAAAATATATTAAAAATAAAAACTTCTATAAAATTAGTTTTTTAATAAAATTATTTTTAAAATTTTTTCCCTCAAAGTGCAAGTTCATTCTCAACATAAAATGACATTCACGGAGGCTCATTATGTCCTCAATTTTATTTCAAAAAATCTTGAACAACTAAATAGTAATTATGTATATGAGGAAATGAAAGTTAAAATTGAAAATGTAAATTGATTTATAAAATAATTAATAATCCTTAATTTTTCCTTCAAATACTTGCATGTACATATTTTATAAAATTCTCATATCACTTCTAAAATTTTTAATCAAAATTTAATTCTTTTAATAAATTTTAATTAATTACACAAAACTTTCAGTTAAAAAATAAAGATATCAAACAATCAACTGAAGATCATCCACAATTTAAAATCCAAAATTCTTTAAAAAAATGTCACCAAACATTATCTGCTTTTAGCTTTATACAGTCGTGGAAAAAAGTATGGAAGCGCTAGAAAATTTTTTCTTAATTCTTGATTTTTCATTCAAAAAATACGTTCTATATACCAATCGAAAGCTCTATTCGTATCTCAGTTGACATGTTTCTGCATTTTTCATGAAAATGAAAATTGGCCGAGATAATCCGGATCTACCGGATATACCAAATCCCACTTTTTCGGAAAAATTTTTCGGAACAAATTTAACAAACCCAAATGATAAAGCATATTTTTGTGAGCATTTACCACAAAACCGCTTAGAAATATCTTTTTCCGGTCCAGAGATATGATTTTTTGAAAATGGCATTTTTCGTCTATTTTTGCAAAAAATTCAATTTTTAAGCGAAAAATGCCATTTTCAAAAAATCATATCTCTGCTCCGAAAAAAGATATTTCTAAGCGGTTTTGTGGAAAATAACCAGAAAAATATGCTTTATCATTTGGGTTTGTTAAATTTGTTCTGAAAAATTTTTCCGAAAAAATGGGATTTGGTATATCCGGTAGATCCGGATTATCTCGGCCAATTTTCATTTTTATGAAAAATGCAGAAACATGTCAACTGAGATACGAATAGAGCTTTCGATTGGTATATAGAACGTATTTTTTGAATGAAAAATCAAGAATTAAGAAAAAATTTTCTAGCGCTTCCATACTTTTTTCCACGACTGTAGTTTCAAAATACAAAAAGCACAAAGGAAATAAATGGAATATTTTTAAGGTTATGTGTTCAAATTGTGAAGAAAATAGCTATTTTAGTGGTGAAGAGAAGAATGAAATTTATGAATTTGTAAAAAATTTAAGTAAAAATGTTATTGAAGAATTCAAATTTATTGTTGAATGGCAAATTAATTTGTATCGCAAATCGCTAGATTACACGTAAAATAATTAATTTTTATTTTAAATGTTTTAGACACTTGTTTATTATTAATTAGGGCTGGGGGCCCGGTCCGGTCTGAAAGACCGAGTCGTGCATCGAATTCAAAAGACTCGAAAAATGAAGTCCATAAAAAATAACTCGAACGTCGGCCTGAACCGAAAACCCTATTATTAATACATGTTAGTTAGTAGGGCGTTTATTTCAGAAAGGTTCTTGAGAAATAAAAAATAATCTGGCTCCCCCATAATAGAAATGGTGTTGGGATGAAAACTAATATTTTTTTCATAAACTTAAGATTAAATTATAAACACAAACCAAAGGAATACGAAAATTTAAAAATCAAAATTACTGAGTTACTCACTCAATACAAAAACTTTGTTGATGTAATTCCTAGTAACAAGCCTCACGTGGATGTATCACACCAACAATCATTTTCAATTAACAACGGAAAACAATTCAATAAAATTATTACCGACAAGGAAAGTCACACGAATCCCCAATCAGTTCCTCTTCTTAATCAACATGAAGTTGCTGTTAATAATTTTTTTGAAAATTTAGATGATATAACAGCAAAAACTAAAAAATTTAAAGCAAAACTTGCTGATATTAAAAAATATATGAAAAAGAATAAATCGGTTAAAAATGAATTATACCAAAATAATTTTGCAGACATTGTCGAGGAAAAGATGAAATTTCTTTTAAAAAATTGGGAGAAAATATTTGAGGATATTTTTGGAGATAAAGACGATGTTAAGGAAATTAAAGATATTTTCAAGAATTCGGGACATCAATTTGTTGGGTATTGCCTTTCCCAACGATTTCTTGAGGCATTTAATGAAGATAGAGGAGTTAACATTAAAGCATTCATCGACAACAATTCACGACGAAAATATGCTCAAAAACTTGCTAAAATTGTTAAGAATAATCCTTTGGATATAAAGTAATTATTTGCTTAAAATTAATTTTTACTTCCAAATTTTTTAAAAAAATTCTAAAAAAATATTTTTAAGTTTTTACAAATCAACAAAAGAAGTTATCAAGAACTATCTTGATAAAAAATGCAACAATTTCCCAAATGTTTTAAAAGATTGTCTCTCATCCATTGAAAATATATTTCAAAACTGGAAAGGGTATTGTTCGATTGATATTGAAAATTTGGAATTTGAAAATTTTGAAGAAATTGTTTAAAAAAATGAAAATTAAATATTTTTGATTTTTAAAAGAAGAATTTATAGCCCAAGTATTCAATTATAGTTCATTAGTTCAATTAAAATATTTATTTGTAAAAAAATTTCATATGTATTATGTTGAATTATTAGAAAGAATTATTATTCGTAATTCTTCCAAGGAATGGTTCGAAGTTTTTTGGTTATTGTAAATTCTGAAAGCTATAATGGAATTAGTTTTCTTTTACCTTGTAAAAAAGGAATAGTAATGGGGTTCTAAGAAATTATAATAGAACCCATTTACCCCTGTCTTCCATTGATATTAGGGGGTGGGGGTAACTATAATTTTAGTTGCTAAACAATTTGAAAGTTGGATTTAGTAGTTCCAAAATTTGTCATTTTATGATACATACAGCACTTTTATAGCAAAAATTAAATATGAACTAATATTTATATTTTTATTGGACTAATAAACTGTAATTGAGGCACCAGATATTTTTCATTATAAATATTTTCTTTATTCATTTATATTTTTGATTTATATTTATCTTTTATTCATTTTGCATAAACTGATTTTATTAATCGTCTGATTAATTAATCTTTAATTCTGAAAATTAAAATTCTTTTTAATAAAATTTCCAAAATTAATATTTTTTTGCAGAAATTTACTCCATAAATAAACACAATTTAAGAATTTTTAGTTTAAGTACAAATAAATAAAGTACCAATTTTTATAAAATAAAAGTAACTTTTATTTTTATAATTGCGTGAGATCCTTAATAAATTTTTATAAAAATTTTAAAAATAATTTTTATTTCAAATAAACTTAAATTAATTGAGGTAATTAATTCACGGAATACTCCAAAATGATTAAATAATTTATTAAAATTTTAAAATTAAACAGAACAGTTTCAAATAAATTATATCACCTGCTAATTTTCTAAAAATTTTTTTCCAAAATAATTTTATATAAATGAAAGAAAATTTTTGTTTAAATAAATTATTTTAATTCAATAAATTTTAATAAAATTATTATTTTAAATTTAAAGTAAATTTTAAATAAAATTTTGAATAAAATGAGTATACAGCAAGAACAAAAGCAACAAACGGTTTGTTGTTGTTTTATATTTTAATAATTTGCGGGGATATGTAAGTATTGTGTAGGGTTTAATAGAATGGAAGTAAGCGTTTATTAGAGTTTAATTATTAGAGTTAAACAATTATTCGAGAATAATTAATCTTCGATATCCGGATCCGGAACCGAAATTTTTATCGCCAAAATTTTGACAATGTAAGGTTAGTCCCAATGGAGAATATTGAGGGATTAGGATCAATTATGAATGGATTTGGGAACCTGGAAATTTGAAAATGTTGAACTCTTGAATATTTACATATTTTTATTAATCAAAAGTTTTAATCGCGATCATTTTTAAAATTTAAAAACAAAAATTTCAAGTTGTTTGATATTTATGGAGAAATAGGACTTCCTATTGAATTGGTTACATTAAATGTTTTAAGAACAATAATTTCGATAATCGGCATTTTGTTCAATTCTTCTTAGGTTTTTGTTACTGCAAAGACCAAGTTAGTCAATTTGTAAATTTATGGATATAAAAAATAAAAAATTTATTATGAAATTTTTTAAAATCTCTTAAAAATATTTAATAAAAATCTTCAACAATTTTGTTTAAAGAGCACTCAATTCTCCATGCCATTTACTGATAGCTTTTGATTGTCTAGTCTCTGCTTGGTATCAATTAGCTACTTTTCTTTCCATCACAGTTTTGTTTGGCCCTGGTCATCAATTTATTCCAATACGTCCCTGTTGTCTACAAATCCTTCCTCCTTTCCAATTTGGATTTATAGCATCAATTTCTGCCATGTATTTAATATCTTTAGATCGACTAATGAGTATTGTATTTCCAATATGGTTTGTATAAAATAATCTTTTAAATATTTAATTTATATTTGAAGGTATAGCCAAAGAGAAATAAAAAAGAGATATTATATGCTTCCAATGCTTATTTCAACATTGATATGTCCAGCAATAATTACTTATGCACAATATCAAGTTGTTTATACTGTTCCAGAATCTACGTAAATATTTATATTATAAACTAGTGATAATATACGATAGATCAGTGTTTAGTAATGCCAGGGGAGAATCGAGTCGGCCAAGGGCTCAGATGTTTCGAGTTCCTATTCGGCGGGAAGAGACTTCCAAGGGAAACTTTGTTAATTTTATATACATATTTCAATATTTTTAAATATCTAAATTTAAGTCAAGTAATCTGTGTCTCGCATGAATGTTCTTGGGGATGGGCTGCTGATTTAATTTATGTAATATTCGTTTCATTCTATGTACTTACTTTGGCCAACTATATAATTATTTGGATTGTTCTAAAATGGCATTCTTGGAAAAGTGTTAATCAAAATTTAGGTAAAATTTATTTAATTATTCTTTCCTTCCACTAAACTATTTTTTATTCATTTTTGGAATACTTATAATTAATTCAAGTATATACTAGGTATAAATTCATATTTTTTCTTACTTTTTTCAACTCAAAAATTTAAAATTATCAGTCTAAAAATAAATATTCACAGATGTTTTGTCAAATTATTTTAATTAAATTTAACTTCCTTAATAAAGAATCAGAACGGAAATAGTTATACTTTAATTGACTGAATTAATTAAAATATATTTAAATTTTATTTTCGAATAATTTAATTAATTTTTCAGCTCCATCATATGACTGGACACGCCGAATATTAAAAACTTTATCAATAATTCTTTTATTAAATATAATCGGGTTATCAATGAATTACACTACTAGAATAATTGTTCCTCGTCTTAATTTTAATCTCACACAAAAGACAATAACAATCCATGGGTTAAGTTGCATAACTTGTTTGGTTATGTCCTCAAATGCTCCTATATTGTTTACATTTAAGTAATATTTGTTTTTTAAAAATAAATTCATTTTTTCTTTTAAATTTCAGTCAGGAATACAAAAAAGCATTTTTGTCTACATTCAAATTTAAAGCTAATGTCAAAACAACAAAAGTTAGCCCAGTCAATAGTCTAAATAACATAAAATTAATGAATAATACAAATTTAAAATTAACTCCTATTAATTAATTATTTTGATTTTATTAATAATTTTTATTGTAAATATAAATTTAATAAAAAAATTTTAACAATTAATTTTAGAAAAAAAATTTCTGTTTTAAAAATTCTAGCTAAAAATATCATTAAAAAATACAAAGCTGGCGGGTTTTAAAAATTCTATAACAAAAAAAAATTTTAAATGAAACATGAAACACCTAAGATAATTTATCAAAAAATCATACTAAATAAGGAATTTTTAGTGGAACATTAAACTCTAGACGAAATGAAAATATTTTTATTTAATCAAAATAATTTTAGTTTTCTCTATACACGCAGTTTTTATTCAAATCTTTTTATATTCACAAAATATCATTAACACATTTAACGAACTTGAGGAATGATCTGTATATAATGGTTAAACATAATCCCTTCTTTAATTTCGCCCTGGGAGCGGATGGAAAAATTTTTTTTGCAAAAAAATCTATCAAATCCCCGACTTTCGGGGAGACGCTGAAAAACACTATTCACAACTAAAGGAAAATTAACATAAAATTTTTGTCAAAAATGATAGAATTATTTTTTAAATTTTGTTAAGAAGTAATACTTAAAATCTTGGAAATAAAAATCTCACAAAATTACAGAAAATTAAATTTTTTTAATCAAAATTTTAAATTGGCTATTAAAATACAACCCAAAAAATTCAAATGAATCACATCATAATGCCGTTGCTTTTTTTTTGTTGGCACAACGAGAGACTTGCAAACATCCCAAACTTGGTCTCGGTCGGTCTAATCAAAAAATATCGATAAAATTCTTTCTCTCGACATTATTATATTGCCTTTGATAGTAACCCCGGTAACACATGCTGGTAGTAACAATGCTAACTATCTGCAGATAAATCGCTAGCTGCAGATAAATCCGTAGTAACAATGCTAAAGATTAAAATCCGTAGTACTATCCGCAGCTAAAGAACAAAAAAATCGGTAGCTTTAGCTGCAGATACCTATCCATAGTAACAATGCTAAGGATAGGGTAGCGGATAGGGTATCGGCTAGGGTAGCTACGGATAAAATCGCTAGCCTCCTATTTAGGTGGATAGTTGCATTATTTTAAATATTTAAAAAATTATAATAAATTTTAAAAAATTATTAAAAATTCAAAATAAAAAGAATTTAGTTAAAAATAAATTAATTTTCATTTTTAAAAATTTTTTCGTCAAAAAAAAAATAAATTTCAAAAATTTTGAAAATTCAATTAAAATAATTCTGTGCTATATTTGACCTAATCCCAAATCCATCAATATTATTCTCATTTAAATCGTTTTGAATTTCTGGCTGATCATCGTTTAAATTTTCATCATCGAAATTTGGCATACCTTCTGCTACAGCAATATTATGTAAAACTGCCGCGGCCATTATAAACATTCCAATATTTTCCAGTTTAATTCGTATAGGTGTTTGTAGGACATGGAAACGCTTCTTCCATCTTCCAAATGTCTGTTCAATAATGACACGCGTCCTGACATGCGCAGCATTAAATCGTTGTTGGGCAGCTGTTGTAGGATTGAGAAAAGGTGTCAGCAGCCACTTACGGCATGGATAACCGCTATCACCTTAATAATTTTTCAAAAAGAAATGAATAAAAATAAATACCTAACAAAATTCCTCGTAATTGTCTACGCTCAAAACTGTTCCACACCTCCGAGTGCCTTAAAATTATCGAGTCATGACAGCTACCAGGCCAACGGCAATTGATGTTTAGAAAACGTCCTTTATTATCAACAACTGCTAAAATACTTGTTTAATGAATCATAGATAAAAATAAACTGACCTTGCACATTGATGCTCGACCAACCCTTTCTATTGTAGTAATCTCTTCCATGCTGCTTTTCTGAAGGGGTAAGGATTGGGATA